CCCCCCCACCACACTCTCCCCCCCCCCCACCCACTCTCTCCCCCCCCACCACTCTCTCTACCCCCCACCCACTCTCTACCCCCCCCCACCACTCCTACTACCCCCCCACAGTCCCCCCCCACCTTCTTGTTGGTCTCCGTGCGATGGTGGTAGCCCTTCTGGCCTGCACGTCTCTCCACCCCCACCACTCTCTCCCCCCCCCACCACTCTCTCCCCCCCCCCACCACTCTCTACCCCCCCCACTCTCTCTACCCCCCACAGTCCCCCCCACCTTCTTGGTTGGTCTCCGTGCGATGGTGGTAAGCCCTTCTGGCCTGCACGTCTCTCCACCCCCCCACCACTCTCTCCCCCCCCACCACTCTCTCCACCCCCCACCACTCTCTCTACCCCCCACTCACCACTCTCTCTACCCCCCACAGTCCCCCCACCTTCTTGGTTGGTCTCCGTGCGATGGTGGTAGCCCTTCTGGCCTGCACGTCTCCCCACCCCCCACCACTCTCTCCCCCCCCCACCACTCTCTCCCCCCCCACCACTCTCTCCCCCCCCACCACTCTCTACCCCCCACAGTCCCCCCACCTTCTTGTTGGTCTCCGTGCGATGGTGGTAGCCCTTCTGGCCTGCACGTCTCTCCACCCCCACCACTCTCTCCCCCCCCACCACTCTCTCCACCCCCCACCACTCTCTCCCCCCCCACCACTCTCTCCCCCCCCCCACCACTCTCTACCCCCCACAGTCCCCCACCTTCTTGTTGGTCTCCGTGCGATGGTGGTAGCCCTTCTGGCCTGCACGTCTCTCCACCCCCCACCACTCTCTCCACCCCCCACCACTCTCTACCCCCCCACCCCTCTCTACCCCCCCCAGTCCCCCCACCTTCTTGTTGGTCTCCGTGCGATGGTGGTAGCCCTTCTGGCCTGCACGTCTCTCCACCCCCCACCACTCTCTCTACCCCCCACCACTCTCTCCCCCCCCCACCACTCTCTCCCCCCCCACCACTCTCTACCCCCCACAGTCCCCCCACCTTCTTGTTGGTCTCCGTGCGATGGTGGTAGCCCTTCTGGCCTGCACGTCTCTCCACCCCCCACCACTCTCTCTACCCCCCACCACTCTCTACCCCCCACCACTCTCTCCCCCCCACCACTCTCTCTACCCCCCACCACTCTCTCCCCCCCCACCACTCTCTCTACCCCCCACCACTCTCTCCCCCCCCACACTCTCTCTACCCCCCACAGTCCCCCCACCTTCTTGTTGGTCTCCGTGCGATGGTGGTAGCCCTTCTGGCCTGCACGTCTCTCCACCCCCCACCACTCTCCCCCCCCCCACCACTCTCTCCCCCCCCACCACTCTCTACCCCCCACAGTCCCCCCACCTTCTTGTTGGTCTCCGTGCGATGGTGGTAGCCCTTCTGGCCTGCACGTCTCTCCACCCCCCACCACTCTCTCCCCCCCCCCACACTCTCCCCCCCCCCCCCCCACCACTCTCTACCCCCCACACCCCCCACTCTCTCTACCCCCCACAGTCCCCCCACCTTCTTGTTGGTCTCCGTGCGATGGTGGTAGCCCTTCTGGCCTGCACGTGGCACGCTGAAGGCCACTCGCGCTGGGTGCCAGGCCCCGATGCAGGCCACCTTGCGGAGGCCCTTGTGGGTCTTGCGGGGAAGCTTCTTCGTGTGCCAGCGTGACGTCACGCCTGGGGGGGGGGTGGAGGGGGGGGGCACGGGGGGGGGGGGTGGAGGGAGGGGGCACGGGGGGGGGGTGGAGGGAGGGGGCACGGGGGGGGAGGAGAGGGAGGAGGTGGAGGGAGGAGACAGATGCTCAGAGAGAGACAGACATCTCGCCCCACTCACCCCTCCCCCGCCCCCCGTATCCCTCGCCCCTCCCTCAGCCCGGGCTCACCCCTCCCCCGCCCCTCCCCCGCCCCTCCCCTCCCCCCTCCCCTCCCTCGCTCCTCCCTCACCCCTCCACCACCCCCTCCCTCACCCCTCTCCCTCTCCCTCGCCCCCTCCCTCGCCCCCTCCCCCCGCCCCCTCCCCCCGCCCCTCCCTCGCCCCTCCCCTCCCTCACCCCTCCCCCGCCCCTCCCTCGCCCCCTCCCTCGCCCCCTCCCCCGCCACTCCCCCACCCCTCCCTCACCCCTCCCTCACCCCCTCCCTCACCCCCTCCCTCGCCCCCTCCCTCGCCCCCTCCCTCGCCCCCTCCCTCGCCCCCTCCCTCACCCTTCCCTCACCCCCTCCCCTGCCCCTCCCCCGCCCCCTCCCTCGCCCCCTCCCTCACCCCCTCCCTCACCCCCTCCCTCACCCCCTCCCTCACCCCCTCCCTCACCCCCTCCCTCACCCCCTCCCCTCCCCCACCCCTCTCCCTCGCCCCCTCCCCTCCCCCTCCCCTTGCCCCGTGCTCACCCTTGAAGCCGTGCCCCTTGGTGACCCCGATGACGTCGATCATCTCGTCCTGGGCGAACACGCTGGACACGCCCACCTTCTGCTCTAGGTGAGAGCGAGCCCACTCCACCTTGTCGCGCACCGAGCCCCCGTTGAGCTGCACCTCCATGAGGTGGGCACGCTTCTGACGCAGGGGCAGCAGCTTCATCTGTGGGGGGTCACGGGGCCGGGGGGCAGGAGGTCAGTGAGGTCAGTGAGGGGGGCAGGGCGTGGGCGAGGTGGGGGTCACGGCGTGGGTGAGTGGCTGGGTGAGCGAGCGAGTGGCTGGGTGAGCGAGCGAGTGAGCGGCTGGGTGAGGGAGCGAGTGGCTGCGTGAGGGAGCGAGTGGCTGGGTGAGGGAGCGAGTGGCTGGGTGAGGGAGCGAGTGGCTGGGTGAGCGAGCGGCTGGGTGAGCGAGCGAGTGGCTGGGTGAGGGAGCGAGTGGCTGGGTGAGCGAGCGGCTGGGTGAGCGAGCGAGTGGCTGGGTGAGGGAGCGAGTGAGCGGCTGGGTGAGTGAGCGAGTGGCTGGGTGAGTGAGCGAGTGGCTGGGTGAGGGAGCGAGTGGCTGGGTGAGGGAGCGAGTGGCTGGGTGAGGGAGCGAGTGGCTGGGTGAGGGAGCGAGTGGCTGGGTGAGGGAGCGAGTGGCTGGGTGAGCGAGCGGCTGGGTGAGCGAGCGAGTGGCTGGGTGAGGGAGCGAGTGGCTGGGTGAGGGAGCGAGCGGCTGGGTGAGCGAGCGAGTGGCTGGGTGAGGGAGCGAGTGAGCGGCTGGGTGAGTGAGCGAGTGGCTGGGTGAGTGAGCGAGTGGCTGGGTGAGGGAGCGAGTGGCTGGGTGAGGGAGCGAGTGGCTGGGTGAGGGAGCGAGTGGCTGGGTGAGGGAGCGAGTGGCTGGGTGAGGGAGCGAGTGGCTGGGTGAGGGAGCGAGTGGCTGGGTGAGGGAGCGAGTGGCTGGGTGAGGGAGCGAGTGGCTGGGTGAGGGAGCGAGTGGGTGGGTGAGCAGCTGGGTGAGTGAGCGAGTGACTGGCTGGGTGAGCAGCTGGGTGAGTGAGCGAGTGGGTGGGTGAGCGGTTGGGTGAGTGAGCGAGCGGCTGGGTGAGGGAGTGAGTGGCTGGGTGAGCGGCTGGGTGAGTGAGCGAGTGGCTGGGTGAGGGAGCGAGTGAGCGGCTGGGTGAGGGAGCGAGTGGCTGGGTGAGCGGCTGGGTGAGGGAGCGAGCGAGTGGCTGGGTGAGCGGCTGGGTGAGTGAGCGAGTGAGTGGCTGGGTGAGCGGCTGGGTGAGTGAGCGGGCCCTTCAGAAGGAAGGCAGCATGGAAATGATTCCCCACGGAGAGGTCGGGGCCCCAACAGGGGAGCACATTCCATGTTCTCATCACAGAGACCCAGCGCAGCAGTGAGTGACCTGTGAGTCAGTGAGTGACCCGTGAATCAGTGAGTGAGTCAGTGAGTGACCTGTGAGTCAGTGAGTGAGTGAGTCAGTGAGTGACCTGTGTCAGTGAGTGACCTGTGAGTCAGTGAGTGACCTGTGAATCAGTGTGAGTGTCAGTGTGTCAGTGTGAGACCCCCGTGTGAGTGAGACCCCCAGGTGAGTGAGACCACCGTGTAAGACCCCCGTGTAAGACCCCCGTGTAAGACCCCCGTGTGAGACCCCCGTGTGAGTGAGACCCCCGTGTAAGACCCCCGTGTAAGACCCCCGTGTAAGACCCCCGTGTAAGACCCCCGTGTAAGACCCCCGTGTAAGACCCCCGTGTAAGACCCCCGTGTAAGACCCCCGTGTGAGTAAGACCCCCGTGTAAGACCCCCGTGTGAGTGAGACCCCCGTGTGTGTGAGACCCCGTGTAAGACCCCCGTGTGAGTGAGACCCCCGTGTGAGTGAGACCCCCGTGTGAGTGAGACCCCCGTGTGAGTGAGACCCCCGTGTAAGACCCCGTGTGAGTGAGACCCCCGTGTAAGACCCCCGTGTAAGACCCCCGTGTGAGTGAGACCCCCGTGTAAGACCCCCGTGTAAGACCCCCGTGTGAGTGAGACCCCCGTGTGAGACCCCCGTGTGAGTGAGACCCCCGTGTAAGACCCCGTGTAAGTGAGACCCCCGTGTGAGACCCCGTGTGAGACCCCCGTGTGTGTGAGACCCCGTGTGTGTGAGACCCCCGTGTGAGTGAGACCCCCGTGTGAGTGAGACCCCCGTGTGAGTGAGACCCCCGTGTGAGTGAGACCCCCGTGTGAGACCCCCGTGTAAGACCCCCGTGTAAGACCCCCGTGTGAGTGAGACCCACCTGTGTAAGACCCCCGTGTGAGACCCCCGTGTAAGACCCCCGTGTGAGACCCCCGTGTAAGACCCCCGTGTAAGACCCCCGTGTAAGACCCCCGTGTAAGACCCCCGTGTAAGACCCCCGTGTGAGTGAGACCCACCGTGTGTGTAAGACCCCCGTGTAAGACCCCCGTGTGAGACCCCCGTGTGTGTGAGTGAGACCCCCGTGTAAGACCCCCGTGTAAGACCCCCGTGTAAGACCCCCGTGTAAGACCCCCGTGTGAGTGAGACCCCCGTGTGAGTAAGACCCCCGTGTAAGACCCCCGTGTAAGACCCCCGTGTGAGACCCCCGTGTAAGTGAGACCCCGTGTGTGTAAGACCCCCGTGTGAGACCCCCGTGTGAGTGAGACCCCCGTGTAAGACCCCCGTGTAAGACCCCCGTGTAAGACCCCCGTGTAAGACCCCCGTGTGTGTGAGACCCCCGTGTAAGACCCCCATGTAAGACCCCCGTGTAAGACCCCCGTGTGAGTGAGACCCCCGTGTAAGACCCCCGTGTAAGACCCCCGTGTAAGACCCCCGTGTAAGACCCCCGTGTAAGACCCCCGTGTAAGACCCCCGTGTTAGACCCCCGTGTGAGTGAGACCCCCGTGTAAGACCCCCGTGTGAGTGAGACCCACCGTGTAAGACCCCCGTGTGAGTAAGACCCCTGTGTGAGTAAGACCCCCGTGTAAGACCCCCGTGTAAGACCCCCGTGTGAGTGAGACCCCCGTGTAAGACCCCCGTGTAAAACCCCCGTGTAAAACCCCCGTGTAAAACCCCCGTGTAAGACCCCCGTGTAAGACCCCCGTGTAAGTGAGACCCCCGTGTGAGTGAGACCCCCGTGTGAGTGAGACCCCGTGTAAGACCCCCGTGTAAGACCCCCGTGTAAGACCCCCGTGTAAGACCCCCGTGTAAGTGAGACCCCCGTGTAAGTGAGACCCCCGTGTAAGTGAGACCCCCGTGTGAGTGAGACCCCGTGTAAAACCCCCGTGTGAGACCCCCGTGTGAGACCCCCGAGTAAGACCCCCGTGTAAGACCCCCGTGTGAGTGAGACCCCCGTGTGAGTGAGACCCCCGTGTAAGACCCCCGTGTAAGACCCCCGTGTGAGTGAGACCCCCGTGTAAGACCCCCGTGTGAGTGAGACCCACCTGTGTGTGCACGATGACACGGATGACCTGGCAGTACTTGACCATGCACGCAAAGTCCTTGTCCAGCTGTTTCTTGCCATCCTCATCCTGCCACTTGCGGCAGGCCTTGGTGAAGGCCTTCTTCTTGCACTTGTACCTGGACAGACACACAGTGATATAGAGATACCACACACACAGTACACACACACAGTATACACACACACAGTATACACACACACAGTATACACACAGTATACACACACAGGCCTTGGTGAAGGCCTTCTTCTTGCACTTGTACCTGGACACACGTGGAGATAGACACACTGTGATATACCACACACACAGTACACACACACACAGTATACACACACAGTACACACACACAGGCCTTGGTGAAGGCCTTCTTCTTGCACTTGTACCTGGACACACGCGGAGACAGACACACAGTGATATACAGAGATACCACACACAGTACACACACACAGTACACACACACAGTACACACACACAGGCCTTGGTGAAGGCCTTCTTCTTGCACTTGTACCTGGACAGACACACAGTGATATAGAGATACCACACACAGCACACACAGTACACACACACAGTATACACACAGTACACACACACACAGGCCTTGGTGAAGGCCTTCTTCTTGCACTTGTACCTGGACAGACACACAGTGATATAGAGATACCACACACAGTACACACACAGTATACACACACAGTACACACACTACACACACACAGGCCTTGGTGAAGGCCTTCTTCTTGCACTTGTACCTGGACACACGTGGAGATAGACACACTGTGATATATAGAGATACCACACACAGTACACACACACACAGTATATACACAGTACACACACACACAGTACACACACACACAGTATACACACAGTATACACACACAGGCCTTGGTGAAGGCCTTCTTCTTGCACTTGTACCTGGACACACGCGGAGACAGACACACTGTGATATACAGAGATACCACACACAGTACACACACACACAGTATATACACAGTACACACACACAGTACACACACAGTATATATACACACACAGTATACACACACAGGCCTTGGTGAAGGCCTTCTTCTTGCACTTGTACCTGGAGACACGCGGAGATAGACACACTGTGATATACCACACACACAGTACACACACACAGTACACACAGTATACACACACAGTATACACACACAGTATACACACACACACAGTACACACACACAGTATATACACACAGTACACACACACAGTACACACACACACAGTACACACACACAGTACACACACACAGGCCTTGGTGAAGGCCTTCTTCTTGCACTTGTACCTGGACAGACACACAGTGATATAGAGATACCACACACAGTACACACACACACAGTATATACACCGTACACACACCCACACAGCACACACAGTACACACACACAGTACACACACACACAGTATATACACACAGGCCTTGGTGAAGGCCTTCTTCTTGCACTTGTACCTGGACAGACACACAGTGATATACAGAGATACCACACACAGTATACACACACACAGTACACACACACTACACACACACAGTACACACACACACAGTACACACACACAGTATATACACACACAGTACACACACACAGTACACACAGTACACACAGTACACACACACACAGTACACACACACAGTATATACACACAGGCCTTGGTGAAGGCCTTCTTCTTGCACTTGTACCTGGACAGACACACAGTGATATACAGAGATACCACACACAGTACACACACACACAGTATACACACAGTACACACACACACACAGCACACACAGTACACACACACAGTATACACACAGTACACACACACACAGGCCTTGGTGAAGGCCTTCTTCTTGCACTTGTACCTGGACAGACACAGTTATATAGAGATACCACACACAGTATACACACACAGTACACACACACAGTACACACACACACAGTACACACACACAGTACACACATACACACACAGTACACACACACAGTATATATACACACAGTATACACAGTACACACACAGGCCTTGGTGAAGGCCTTCTTCTTGCACTTGTACCTGGACAGACACACAGTGATATAGAGATACCACACACACAGTACACACACACAGTACACACACAGTATACACACAGTACACACACACACAGTACACACACACACAGTACACACACACACACAGTACACACACACACAGTACACACACACACAGTATACACACACAGGCCTTGGTGAAGGCCTTCTTCTTGCACTTGTACCTGGACACGGACAGACACACTGTGATATACAGATACCACACACAGTACACACACACAGTACACACACACACAGTGATATACAGATACCACACACACAGTACACACACACAGTACACACACAATACACACACAGTATACACACAGTATACACTACACACAGTATATACACACACAGTACACACACAGTATATACACACAGTACACACACACAGTATATACACACACAGTACACACACACAGTACACACACAGTATATACACTACACACAGTACACACACACAGTATACACACAATACACACACACAATACACACACAGTATACACAGTACACACAGTACACACACACAGGCCTTGGTGAAGGCCTTCTTCTTGCACTTGTACCTGGACACACGCGGAGATGGACACACTGTGATATACAGAGATACCACACACACAGTACACACACAGTACACACAGTATATACACACAGTATATACACAGTACACACACACACAGTATACACACACACATTATATACACTCACACACAGTACACACACAGTATATACACAGTACACACACACACAGTACACACACAGTACACACACACAATACACACACACAGTATATACACACACAGGCCTTGGTGAAGGCCTTCTTCTTGCACTTGTACCTGGACACACGCGGAGATGGACACACTGTGATATACAGAGATACCACACACACAGTACACACACAGTACACACAGTATATACACACAGTATATACACACAGTACACACACACACAGTATACACACACACATTATATACACTCACACACAGTACACACACAGTATATACACAGTACACACACACACAGTACACACACAGTACACACACACAATACACACACACAGTATATACACACACAGGCCTTGGTGAAGGCCTTCTTCTTGCACTTGTACCTGGACACGGACAGACACAACGTGATATACAGATACCACACACAGTACACACACACACACAGTATACACACACACAGTATACACACATACAGTATACACACACACAGTATACACACACACAGTATATATACACACAGTACACACACACAGTATACACACACACTATACACACACACAGTATATACACACACACAGTATATACACACACACAGTATATACACACACAGTATATACACACACAGTATATACACACACAGTATATACACACACACAGTATACACACACAGTATATACACACACACAGTGTACACACACACACAGTATACACACACACACAGTATATACACACACACAGTATACACACACACAGTATACACACAGTATACACACACACACACAGTATACACACACACAGTATATACACACACACACACACAGTATACACACAGTATACACACAGTATACACACACAGTATATACACAGTATACACACACACTATATATACACACACACACAGTACACACACACAGTACACACACACACAGTATATACACACATAGGCCTTGGTGAAGGCACCAAGGCCTATTATCCACTACCATTATTCACCACCACCACCACCACCCTCCTCCTCCACCACCACCCCCACCACCTCCTCCATCACCACCCCCACCACCTCCTCCTCCACCACCTCCTCCTCCACCACCACCACCTCCTCACCATCTCCACCTCCTCCACCACCACCTCCTCACCACCCCCACCACCTCCTCCTCCACCCCCACCACCACCTCCTCACCACCCCCACCTCCTCACCAGTTCTTGTAGAAGCGCCGCTTGCACTCGTCACTCAGGTGCTCGGCGAACACCGTCTTGAGGGAGCGGAGTCCACGCGGTGAGGTGACGTAGCCAACCACACCCACCACCACCACGGGGGGAGCCTCCACCACCGTCACCGCCTCCACCACCTCCTTCTT